AGCTATTGTTCGAAGTCGAGCTGAGCGTAAAAAGAGGTGTCCAAATCGATGTGTGCGAGTGTTTCCAAAACAGCACGTCTGGCTGACTTCGTTAGAACTCGATTGATGCATCCCATACGCATACACACAGCAACGGCACCCGCCTTATCCACCGCCTCAGCGGACAAATTCACGCACTGATACGGAACATAAACATTCATGGACGTAAGGCGTGGGCGAACTTGCAACTGGTGAAAATCTTGTCAACCGACCATGATGCCTAGAGTGCATGTAGACCGAACCACACTATGAGGTCCGCCTCTCTTTCCCTGACCATAAGAGTTGAGTTTTCGAGCAAACAAAATTAGTGCGGCCTCAGGAGAACATTCTCATTCAGCAAATCGTCTTCAGTGGCACTTTCTATTACAGAGACTTCTCGGGTCGCATTAAATGGAGAACTCCATACCCGTGCACCAAAATTAGATCAAGCAATCACAAAGTGGTACTCACCACCACCAAAAGACCTAGTTTTCAGAATACATCAAATATAACCCTCAATACTGCGACCTTTCAAGTCAACCGAAGTGTGCGACTGTAAGCACTTCGGACCATAAGCATCACAAACGAGCATTGCTGGGCAGCTACAGTCGTACTCGCTGGATGCTGGGGCGTTTCAGAGGGCTGGGACTAGCGCGGTGCCAGCCTGTCTCCACCAATTGTAGAGAACTGCTGGGTCCGCGCCAAACCTATCCTCTCTGGAACGCCCCACCGTCCGCGTAGCAACTAGACGCTTTCCCTCTCGAATAGGGAAAGCAGAAGATATCAAAAGATATCAACAGATACACGGAGCGAGCACGGTGTAAGATCAGACAGGCGTTCAGACTTACGCGCGCAACGGCAGACGGCTCCGCGCGATTTGATCCAGTCGATGAGGGCATGCTTTCGAACTGCAAAAAAAAATGCGATCGCATCGTAGCACGCAGCGACGAAGGGCCGTGGTCGATCAGGGTGCAGCATGCGTTGGCCTAGGGGAATCCCCAACCAGGGGGCGGAGTCGATATTCTGCCGCAGTAAGGCGGTCGTCATTTGGGTTGGCGAAAAATTTATTTTGATAGTTGATTTTCCTTGTGCTTCACTGGACGTTGAAGAAGGGTAAAGGGGGAGGGGGGAAGGGGCTGCGTAGCTTGTTCACTTTTTGCAAAGGGCAGGCGGGGGGGGGGTGGTATTTACGTTTTGACGTTGTAGGAAGAGGTGGTTGACTTTTCGTGATTTTCCTGTCTCATGCCTATGAAGTTTTCGGGAAATTTTGGAAAAAAAGTGGCAGGAAGTTGGAGAAAATCTGAGTAGGGGAGAGGGGGGGTCGTATTGTCTCGCGGCTTTTCCTGTTTCACATGTGCTATTTACCCTCCCTCCCCTCCGCTCGACGACTCGATTCGGTGAAGAAGGACAGAACCGGCGGGGGGGGGGAGGGTGTCGTACGCAACTTCACAAAAAGAGGGGTGGGATCGTACAGAACTCGACTAAAATCCCAAGCGCTAAGTGAGGTTGCCCTGGTGGCGTGTCCGTCGCCCAAGTCTGAACACCGCGCCGGCAACATGCAGCTTTCCGCTATTCAGGAGCGCAACCAACCGGAAAAATCCCAGATATAAAACCATCAGAACAGTAACAAAAAAAAACAAACAAAAAAAATGAAAAACAAAACGAAAGACAACGACAAAAAATTGGCAGACTAACAGTAACACAGAAAAACAAAAAAAAACACATAAAGGAGAGGAATATGCATCGGCGTACGGAGGCAGAAATATCCAGGCCGCCTGCATCGGCTTCGAAGTTAAATCCTGTTTCTAACTAATTGCCAAAGGCAGAATCCAACACCCATCAAATATGCGTTGGTAAGGTAGCGATCCAAATGTGAATCTATGAAGATGCTCTCTGTAATCAGGCATGCTAGCAGGGTCAGCAGATTTCTCATAGCATCGACACATTGCAAGGTTGCAGAACCTTCTTTCCTTTTTTTCCTGCGACAACCTCTTAGATGGTTCCGAATTTGTGGTCCGCATTCAGTATTGGAATGACACAGCCCTTGTATGTCTGTGCGATAGATGTCTCTGAAATGATGGATAAAGCAAAAAAGCTCTCTGCACGATAAATAAGACTTATGTGTCGCTCGAGAGTTAAATTTGGCGTTAGCGACAAGACACCTATAAACTTCTGCTATGGTATTGTATCATAGTATGTATGTGGAAATCGATAGCTTCTCGAGCATGACGAACCGACCGACCGAATGCGATAGAACAACTTGGTTCTATCACCCCCAGCTCTGCCAGCCGCCGTCCGATGCAATTTGCTGATGGACCTGGGTTGGGGACTGATCATGGAATCAGCGCCTGTATCCTGTCGCTGGGCGTTTCCACATATTCATACACTAAGACAACGGCATGGAGCCGTGATTCCTTTTGTTGTAATTTACTTTCTGCGCGATTGTAATTCTAGTACTGTTCGCACAGAGCTTTCCTCACGAGGCATGAATAATCTTCTTTCTTGATCCATTTGGCATCATATAGATTAGTCCCTGAATGATTCCGCTCGCATTTATTTGGGGCAGTCTTTAATGTATGGTATGCCACAGTAGAGAGGTTTATATAAACGCGGCTTTCTTGTACTCAACACATGCTTTCGGGGCGTAAGTAGGTATGCTATTGCGCCTTTGCATTCTTGTCATATACAGGGGGGGGGGGCCAAAAAAAAGTCATTTTGCCTCCATGACTTTCAAGGCGCTATAAGTTACACTTTATTAAATTTTTATCGGACATTTTACTACCATATTAAAGAGCACATTAAATACTATAACGATACTCCGCCACACACGCCTTGCTGGAAGGAGCGCGGCCATCGAGAGATTTGGCACCGACTGGCGATGTGGTACCTGAGATCAGCGGGGTAGTCGATTTCTCCGCCACCGTAGACCACCCTCTTGAGTCCGCCCGAACTAGGTAATTGAGTGGGTTCAGGTCAGGGGACATACTTCAATATTACATCTTCACCAGGTACGAAACGCCCTTCCATTCGAAGTAGGTGGGAGTTTTTCCAAAACCCTTTGATTCCATGTGGTGGCACCCAAACCTGTAGCAGCACAGCAATGGAGGTCTCAAGACAGGTAGCGGGGCGTACACATGTTGGAGGATATTCTTCTTCTCGTTACTTGATGTAACCGCCAGCGCTCACCTTCAGTCGGGGTCTACAAAGAAAATATCGGTCTTCCCCTTTCCAGGTACCCCGGTCCATACCATCAACTCGCGCCTCGGCGAATACGGTGAAGATGATGTCCTAGACCGTAGCGAAGTTGACGAAGCTGCTCGATGTGGGAGGTCTTGCAGATCAAGAGTACTGGTCCTCCAGGTAGCTATCTGCCCATGGGTGACTCCATTCAAGAAGTTCCGCAGCTGTTTGGAGGCCACGTGAATTCCAAAGGTGTTCTCCAGTCAGGCCGCGACTGGAGATGACTTCATATTTTGGCGTACATGAAGGCGATTGGCGGCAGCCTGCTCCAGCTTATAGAGGAAGATCTTGGGTATCTTTCCACCAGTCTGGTACTCATTATCTCAGCTTCCGCTTGTCCTGGGCTGCCGAAGACTTCATTGATTATGGCGCTGGCGGCCCGAAATCGACTTTTTTTTTTTGGCCCCCCCTGCTGACTTTGATTCACCGAATTGTTAGCCGACCCATTCTCAGGTTCACATGTGATTAGCATATTTATTATTGTGCAGCAGTTATTTTATATATCTTATTTGTTTGAGAACGGTGACCTCAGATAGGTATTATACTCCATTATCCCTAAGCCGGGGTAGGCGTGGCATTTGGACTTGGCATAGGTTGGGTTACTCGTGGGATATTTCAACCCGAGACAACTGCCGTATTGCTCTATGGTGGACAGAGACAAGAGCACAATGCGTTTCATAGTGAAGAATATCTGCATCAGAAGCGGCAGACAACAGCTCACGTTTAGTTGCAAGTAGCGCAGGGCACGCCTACACATCCTAGGGATTTCGAGTGTAGGTTGGGAGGAAAGTCCTGCGACACTGTGTCCAAATTTTCGAACCACATTTTTCCACTAAACGTCACTCCTAATCCACAAGGTAATCACCATTAATGACTAGTACTAGTGCCCACCTTTTGCACAGCTTTTCATTTCCACTCTTATAGAACGACTGCAACTACGATAAAAAGTGGAGGTGCACCTCATTTTCGAGATAATGTCGATCTTCGTAATTTTCGTTCTCTAAAAGATGAGGTAGGGATCAAATGAGCGTAGAGGCTGCGACTTTGTTCAATAAGCTGGGTACGGTCGCGTTCCCTGATCGAGATCCATGATCTTGGCGTAGCCTGATCCTCACATGCCGCCTTCGCTTAGCCGTGTATAGAAAGAAGGTGAGTGTTTCTGAGTGAATTCGAGCGTGACTTCGTCCATATTTTTATGTTAATTATTGTAAACTGTG